AAATTACCCCAAATGGGGTAAAAATGAAAATCCTGGGGGTAATGAGGATGGTCGTGGCAGGCATTTTACCCTCAGGCATTTTATTTCCAACGATGCTGTGTGTAGGCAGGCGTTCCGTCGTGGGGACAGCGAGCCCTGGCGTGGAACTGCACAGGGCACCCACCTGTCCTCCTTGCCTCCAAAGTGGGGTGGAGGGTGGCATACCAGGCCAGCTGGACTCTGCCTGGCAGAGGCCTGGCCAGGGCTCTCCTTCCTGCCTGTGCCCACCCGCCCAGTGCGCTGGCGAGGAGGCCCCCTTCCCACCCCGCCTCACCTGAGCTCATGGCCAGTGGACCTGCTGGCCCTGTGGCGCCTGCCTCCCCTCACCAAGGACCTGCTTTCCTAGCGGTGTGCCAGCTCCAGACTGGCTGCCCGGACAGTGGCCACAGGTCCCGGGCAAGCGCAGAGGTGGGGCAGGGGTCGGCCACGGACGGCAAGAGCCAGGGGGGGGGTTAATGTCAACGTATATACATTTTTTGGAGGGTAAAAGGTAAAAAGGTTCCCTGACCCCTGATCTAAACCAAATCCCATATAAATAATACACAGTGGATTCAAAATTCAAGCTTAAACTGAAGAAATTAGGAAAAACCACTGGGCTAGTCAGGTATAATGTAAACCAAATCCCTTATGAATACTCATTGGAAGTGAAGAACTGATTTAAGGAACTCGATTTGGTGGAGAGAGTGCTTGAAGAACTATGGATGGAGGCTCGTAACAAGGAGAGACAAGAGGGTCATCTTAAATGAACAATGCAAAGAAATAGAAGAAAATAACAGAAACAGAAAAACCAGAGATCTGTTCAAGAAAATTGGAGATATTAAAGGAACATTTTGTGCAAAGACAGACATGATAAATGACAAAAATGGGAGGCACCTCACAGAAGCAGAAAACATCGAGAAGAGGTGGCAGGAATACACAGAGGAATTATAACAGAAAGATCTATATGTGATTGGTGATCTTGAGCCAGACTTCCTGGAGAGTGAAGTCAAGTGGGCCTTAGAAAGCATAGCTAACAACAATGCCAGTGGAGGTGATGGTATTCCAGTGGGATTATTTAAAATCTTAAAAGACAATGCTGTTAAGGTGCTGCAATCAATATGCCAGCAAGTTTGGAAAACTCAGCAGTGGCCAGAGGATTGGAAAAGATCATTCTGCATCCCAATCCCAAAGAGGGGCAATGCCATGCTCCAGCTGCCATACAATTGCACTCATTTCACATGCTAGCAAGGTTATGCTCAAAATCCTACAAGGTGGCTTCAGCAGTATGTGGGCCAAGAACTCCCAGAAATACAAGCTGGATTTCAAGGAACTCAAGACCAAATTGCTAACATGTGCTGGATTATGGAGAAAACCAGAG